CGCTCTCCGTGAATTTCTTAGAGGTGTAGGCACAGGGTTGCAGGATCCCATTTTTGTTCTTTTGAAGTAACACTGCTCCAACCGCCACATCGCTGATGTCGGCTTGAATCACAAAGGGTTCCCCTGGGCAGGGGTGCTTTAGAACCGGTTCAGCGGCAAATAGTCTCTTTAAATTCTCAAAAGCTGTTTGACAGCTCATTGTCCATGCTAGTGGTTGGCCCGGTCGTGGCTTCCCTCCTCCTTTGCCTGTTTTGAGTAGTTCTGTAAGAGGAAGGGCAATCTCGGCAAAAGAAGGGATGAATTGACGATAAAAGTTGGCAAAACCCAGAAAGCTTTGGAGCTGTTTGCGAGTCCTTGGGGGTTGCCATTCGATTATAGTTTTTACCTTGGCCGGATCCATTTCAATACCCTCATTGGAAATTCGGTAGCCAAGATAGTCTAATTGGGTTCGGTGAAATTCACATTTTGACAATTTGACATAAAGCTTGGCATTCAATAGTTTCTTTAACACTTCTCTCACTAGCTTTATGTGATCATTCATGTTTGTGCTGTATATCAGGATATCATCAAGATACACCAAAACCCCTTTGTACAAGTGATCATGTAGAACCTCATTAATCAACTGCATAAATACAGCTGGGGCCCCCTGTAGTCCAAATGGCATGACTTTGAACTGATAGCTCCCCATAGGGCAGTTGAAGGCAGTTTTCCACTCGTCTCCCTCCCCCGGCTTGCTGGCTGTCGCTTTCCCCCCCGGGGAAACTGCTGCAGCTACGGGGCTGGTTTCAGGCAATTTTTTTTTCTCCATAATGAGATCTGCCCCGAGGCTGCTGTTGATAAATCGGGACGTAGATCGTTTGAAAAGAGTGTGGATTCTGGCATGATGTCACATGTTCCGACTAATGAAGCACTTCAAAGAACTTTCAGACATGTTTCCTAAAGTCTTTATTTGCAGAGCTACAAATTATGCCGGTCACCATTGGACTAATTGATGCCAGAATCTGAACTTCCGGTCGCTGGCATCAAGCTTTCCTTGCTCAACCCCTCCCTTCTCATGCAGTCACAGGTCACATTATCCAATTAGTGAGAAGGTCAAACGTTTACTTCCTCTTTCTTTCCCGGGCTTTTTTCCCCCACCCAGTCTAAGCTAAGTATTAACCCAATAAATGCCAGACAGTTTTGCATATTGTCAAAGCAAGAATATACAGTATTTGCAGCATTGACACTGGTCTTGTTTTTACTGACTGTATAGAGCTTCTCCATCTTTGACTGCAGATGACATAGTCAATCTGATTTCTGTGTTGACTGTCTGGTGATGTCCATGTATAGAGCTGTCTCTTGGGTTGTTGGAAAAGAGTGTTTGCTATGACCATCATATTCTCTTGACAAAATTCTATCAGCCTGTGCCCTGCTTCATTTTGTACTCCAAGGCCAAACTTGCCTGTTATTCCAGTTATCTTTTGGCTTCCTACTTTAGCATTCCAATCCCCCATGATGATAAGGACATCAATTTTTGCTGTTTATTCTATAAGGTGCTATAGGGCTTCATAGAACTGGTCAATTTCATCCTCTTCAGCACCAGTGGTTGGGGCATAGACTTGGACTACTGTGATATTGAATGGTTTGCCTTGGATTCGCACTTAGATCATTCTATCATTGTATCCCAGTATTGCTTTTCCTACTCTTTTATTGACTATGAAGGCTACTCCATTTCTTCTGAGGGATTTTTGCATGCAATAGTATACCTGATGGTCCTCTGAATTAAATTCATCCATTCCTGTCCATTTTAGTTCGCTGATTCCTAAGATGTCGATGTTCAGCCTTGTCATCTCTTGTTTGACCACATCCAGTTTGCCTTGATTCATGTATCTTATATTCCAGGTTCCTATGGAGAAAAGATCTTTACAGCATTGGACTTCCCTTTCACCACCAGATGCATCCACAGCTGAGCATCCTTTTGGCTTTGACCCAGTCACTTCACTCTTTCTGGCACTATTAGTACTAGTCCTATGCTCTTCCCCAGTAGCATATTGGACACCTTCCGACCTGAGGGACTCATCTTCCAGCTTCATGTATTTTTGCCTTTTGATACTGTCCATGGGGTTTTCATGGTAAAGATACTGGAGTGGGTTGCCATTTCTTTCTCCAGTGGATCACATTTTCTCAGAACTCCTGCTATGACCTATCCGTCTTGGGTGGCCCTGCATGGCATAGCTCATAGCTTCATTGGGTTATGCAAACCCCTTCGCCACAACAAGGTAGTAATCCATGAAGGAGAAAGTAGTAGTATAAAGTTCAAAAACTCACATTAAAATAATGTTGGAAGCCTATTAAAATAATATTGGGAGCCTAAAAGTTAATTAAAAATCATAATAAAGAAATCCAGGACCTCTGCAAAATGGGAGCCCAATGGAGAGCTATCAAGAGACTAGTAGGGCAAACACTATTTTTTTGCTGAAATTCCATAATTCATAAAATTATTTGCAGACCATCTTATTTGTGTCTTAAGAAACCTATATGCAGGTCAAGAAACAACAGTGAGAACTGGACATGGAACCACTGATTGGTTCAAAATTGGGAAAGGAGTCCGGCAAGGCTGTATACTGTTGTCCTGCTTATTTAACTTATATGTAGAGCACATCATGAGAAAGGTAGGGCTAGATGAAACAAAAGTTGGAATTAGGATTGCTGGTCGAAATATCAACAACCTAAGATATGAAGATGATACCACTCTAATGGCAGAAAGTGAAGAGGAACTAAAGAGTCTCTTGATGCAGGTAAAGAAGGAGAGTGCAAAAGTTGGCTTGAAACTCAACATTAAGAAAACCAAAATCATGGCATCCATCCCTCTCAATTCCTGGGAAATAGATGGGGAAGAAATGGAGGTAGTGACAGATTTTATTTTCCTGTGCTCCAAGATCACCTCAGATGGGGACTGCAGCCAAGAAATTAAAAGATGCTTGCTCCTGGGGAGGAAAGCTATTGCAAATTTACTAAATTTGCATACTAAAAAGCAGAGACATCACCCTGCCAACAAAAGTGTGTATGGTCAAGGCCATGGTTTTCCCAGTTGCAATGTATGGCTGTGAAAGTTGGACCATAAGAAAGTTTGAGCGATAAAAAATTGAGACCTTTGAACTATGGTGCTGGAGAAGACTCCTGCGAGTCCCTTGGACTGCAAGGCGTTCAAACCGGTCAGTCCCAACCCCAACTGCTCTTTAGAAGGCCAGATCCTGAAGTTGAAACTCAAATACTTTGGCTACCTAATGAGAAGGAAGGACTCACTAGAGAAGGGCCTAATGCTGGGAAAGATTGAGGGCAATAGAAGAAGGGGACGACAGAGAATGAGATGGCCGGATGGAGTCACTCAAGCAGTAAGCATGAACTTAAATGGACTCCAGAAGATGGTAGAGGACAGGAAGGCCTGGAGGAACGTTGTTCATGGGGTCGTGATGGGTCGGACCCGACTTCACAATTAAGAACAACAAATACTTTTGAAGATTGGTAGAATATCTCTAGTGCAAATAATATTACCATATATTTGTATTCTTAATATTTATACAATAGTATATGATGTATATATTTCTTTTTGCAGTATTAAATTAATTTCTTTCACTTTCTAACATTTCAATATCATCTACACATTCATGAATACCATTGTATTGTATGTAATACTAGGTGAATAAGTCCAAGAAATGACATTTAGCAAAAGCCACATTTGCAACAGATAGCATAGGTAGTTCTGAACTTATAACCACAGTTGATCCCAAAATTTCCATTGCTAATCAAGGCAATTGTTAAGTGATTTTTGCCCCATTTTACAAACATTTTTGCCACAGTTGTCAAGTGAATCATAACAATAACAACAACTTTATTGTCACTTTGAATGTACACCAATCGGCATACATCAAAATGAAATCCCATTGCATACAGTTCTCAAAGGGTCACCACCTCTGATATACATTCCTTGTTCATGGCCAGCTCAAGTTTCAGATTGTCCATTTTAGATTTTAGGGAGCGAACAATGACACACAGGACAGATGGAAACAGAGCTCCATGTGGATTTGTGAATCATGTGGTATTTTTAAGCAAATATGACTTCCACCATTAATTTTGCTTTTCAGAAGCTGGCTGGGAAATTTTCAAATGCTGATCACAGGATCACAGAACAGTGCAACCATCATAAATACATGCCAGTTTCCAAGTACCGAAATTATGATCATGTGATGATGGGGTTGTTGCAATGATCATGTGTGAAAACTGGTCATAAGTCACTTTTTTCAGTGTTGTTGTAATTTCAAACAGTCATTAAAAGAATGGTTATAAGTTGATGACTACCTGTACAGAGTAATGGTATTGTACAGAGTCATTGACATACTTATGGAACAGTTTATACAAGTTCTTGCACCAACAGAATTAAACAAGTAGATCTGACTCTTTTACTAGAATGAAAATAAAGTGTCTTATTAACACATGGTGCTTTATGCTAACAAAATGAAACTACTAAATACTGTCCATAGTTTATAAGACTCACAGTTGTTGATTTTGGTTTTTGTATCTAAAGTAGCTCTGCGGAAAGGCAGTGGTGGCAGAGTCTCGGGGGAGGAGATGATTCCATGCATGCAACCTAAGTCCATGCATATGCAAATGGAGTTTCATACACTTATACATCGCTTCTGCAACCTGGTTCCAATGGCCTGCAGACTGGGGGTTAGGGACCCATGATCTAAAGGACAGAAATATGTAGATATTTGGCTTTTGAATAATATGCCAAGAACTTCTCTAAAATGCTTAAAAAGAACCTAACTTTGGTTTAATATAATGTGATTTCTCCCAGTATAATTAAAACGGTTCCATTTCTGTCTTTCCAATTTTTAGAAAGGTTGCATAGGGCAACATATGGCTTTGTGCATCTCTATTATTTATGTTGTAAAATAAACCGTGTAACCAATTAAAGAGCCAATTAATTTTGGTCATTTTAAAATTGCAATTATTTTTAGACCTGAAGCTGCTTTCTTGGAATCTGCACGTTGCTCTGTTTTCCTTGCTCTACAGAAACTTGGTTATTTGGAAGTACGTTCTGCACTTTTATCAACTACGTTTGAGGTAAGAAAAGTTGTTTTATTATAGAATTACATACATTGATATCCGTATAGCACATTTATTTCATAAAAGTAACAGTATTCTGCTATTTTGGTATGATCTACATGTATTTATATATGGATTTATTTTATTTTACAATCTTAGAAAAGAATAGTTATTCTGAAACAGATATTATAATTTAAGTAGAAAATGCATAAATATAATTTATGTCTACCAAATTACTCTTTGTAAAATAATTATTTAAAATATCACTTATATCATTTATTTATTCATACTTCCAAAATTTGTAATTATGTTCACACATCTTAAATTAGCATAATTGTTGATTTAGATATTAAATATTTGAGCTAATCAGTACATAAAATTGTTGGTTTCATATGCAGTTTTTTATATATTTATGCATGTACAGGTGCATTTTTTTGCTATAATTCTCCCTCAGCATTGTATTTAGTATTTATTTATACTTTCCATATTGCTTTCCTTCAAAGAATATGTTGAGAATGTTAAAAGACAGTACTGTTTGTAAGACTCTGCTTAAAATATATGAGGCGTATAAAATATATAGAAAAATATGAAAGTATGGCTGGAGGTATCAGGAGACCTGAAAGAATGCAAATAACTTTATGCCCTCTTTCTGTATATTTGTCTCATAAGCTTCTTTCTACCAGTACAGGTAGTCCTTAAAATAGGTTCCTTAGCAACCATTCAAAATTATGATGGACCCCCTCCCCAAAAGAGATATACATCTCAGATTCAGAGTTCCAATGACCAACCCTCCACAGTCACATGATTGTATTTTGGGCGCTCAGCAACCAGCCCATGTTTACATCTATTTGCAGTTCCATTTGAAGTGATCGCGATTTAGGATGTTTGTGCTGGAAACCACTGCTTATTTCCATTTTCTGGCAAAAAAAAAACCCACAGCAAATGATCGGTTTGCTTAATGATTGCTTACTTAACGACCATGACAAAAAATGTAAAAAAATTTTTTGGGCAAAGTCATGTGGTGACTCACTTTATAACTGTCATAATGTACAACCAATTACAGTTGTATGTTGAAGATATACTGATTACTCCCATAGCTGTCTCTATTGCTTTGTATCTTCTACAGCTCTTTTTGTCTGCTTTCATTCCCAACAGTTACCTTAGCACTTTACCCCTCTGAATCTTCAACTCTTTGTCCCTTCCACAAGTTATTCCCCAGCCCCTGCGGATAATTCCTGGCTATTGTTTAAGCTGAGCCAATTATTTCATCAATAATAAAAATAGTTTCATTAAGTTTCAGAGTGCAATCATTGATGCATTGCAAAACCCGGTGCCACCTTTAAACTTAATATTTCTGAATTTAGAAAAGAAGTTCTTTATACTGCCTCTACTCTTGTGGTATCTATGGAGGAGGGGTTGAAGGCAATTACAGAAAGATGAAAAGAGAAAACAATAGGGAAAAAAACTGCTTTAAATATTGAACGTCTGTGGAGATTCTCAATCATCTAGGTCATTATCCATTTTAAAAGTTAACTGGACTTTTCTGTTTTTTTTCTTTGAAAACTTTTTGATCTTATACAAGAAGCTTTTTTAGTTCAGAATTAAACTTCAAAACTGAAAAAGTTTCTTCAATGAGAAGCGAAACATTTTCAAAGAAAAATAAAAACCAAGAAAGTCCAGTTGCTTTTTGAAAAGCACCTTTGGGCCTTAAAGGTTAAATATAAAACATTTTGGTGTCATATATTGAAGGAAACCAAAGATGGACATCTGACTTCCCCTCCCCCCAAATATTGATTTGCAAAAATAGTTTTGTGCAAATCTGGAGAACACCCAGTGTTCAAAACTTTTGAAAATCTTCTCTCTGATGATTCTTTAAGTGACCACCAGATGCCTCAGCGGCCTTTTCTCTCAACAAACTACTATTCTGTTGCCTACTCACAATTGCCTATTCTTGTTTAAATACAAGCCATACTGTTGATACTATACACACTAAAAAAAAAATCTGGACCCATAAACTAGTATGATACATCTTTTCAATAAGATAATGATCCAAGTGGTAAAAATAACCTTTGGAGCTATTGCTTTCCACCTCATTGGGACAGAATCATTACCAATTCTATCTGTAGTTACATTAGCTACATTACCATCCACTACAGATGATGATGTAGAGTTCCAAATGCTGTGGCCAATTGACTGTAAAATTGTTCTGCAGTTCTGGTGGGGCAGCCAAGTTAGAGCTTTTAAAATATCTATGCTGAAGCTCAACACCCACTGTTTGGAAGCTGATCATTATTTTTCTTCTGTCTCCTGATCTGAACAAAAGAAAGACTTCTGGAATTAATTAGAAATGTCTACTCTTGATGAGATTTGCACGTGAGTTTGCAATCATGAGGCTTTGATAATGTCAGCCAACAGCTGCAGCTTCAGGCGGTAAAATCAAGAGACAGATTTTTCCCTGGGCTTAATTACAATCAGAAAGTATATATTTGAGGGAGACCAAAACAAGTCAGGTTGGAAACTGTCAAGTATTATCATTGAAGATGAGACTTAAACATCTGTTTCCTCATATAAAAGTAAACAAAACATTTATTGTTAGGACCCTCTTGGTTGTGAGACTTTATCCAGCAGTTGTATTTAACTGGAAATTATGAAATTTTCTGTAGTACTTGCTACAAAAGAAACATCTGGCACTATTTATGTCGTTCGTACTTGACAACTCAAGGCAATAATTTGTGTACAATGTGGAATGCAGTATTTCCTAGATAGTGTTAACAATATGATACTAACCCTTTTCCTGGTACAAGAATGAGGATTTAAAAGTATTTCAGCTGTTTTACTTAAATAACTAAAACTTCATAGAAACTATTTTAATTACAAATTGTCATATACAAGGTTTACATCCTATTCTTTTATAATTTTCTTTAAAAAGAAAATATATTTACATTTGTAATCTAAAAAGGATATTTTACAAACTTATTTCACCTGTAAATATGAGCTTAACTATGTCCTAAAACCAGGACCTACTGCTTATTAAGATATTGTTAATAAGAAGTAAAAAAAATATCTGCAAAGAGAATCAGACTTCCAGACTCACATCCATATCTCTATAACTGATGTTTTGTTTTAATAGCTTCAGAATGATATTAGACTTGCTTGTGTGTGTGTTTGTGTGTGTGTGTGTGTGTGTATGTATGTGTGTGTATATATATATATATATATATATATATATATATATATATATATATATTTGTTTTCTGAGGTTTTTGCGGGTGTTTGTATGTAGGTCTTTGGTTATTCGGATTTTCTTCCGCGTAAAATTGGAAGTGTCTTGGCGACATTTCGACAAAGTCCCATTCATCATCTTCAGGCTAGTGTTTTCGGTTTTGTGCTTCTAGGAGCAATGCTATGCTGCTAGAAGCATGAAGCTGAAAACACCAGCCTGAAGATGACGAATGGGACTTCGTCGAAACATCGCCAAGACACTTCCAATTTTACGCAGGAGAAAGAAAACCCGAATAACAAAGACCTAATACAAACACCGCAACAAAAACATCAGAAACACATAATATATATAGATATATATATATATATATATATATATATAATATATATATATATATATCATAATGTGTATATATACACACACACAGAGAGAGAGACAGACAGACAGACACATATATACACATATATATTGTTTATATGTATGCTGCTTTTATAATTTTTGTAAATAACTCAAGACAGCATATATTCCTTCTCTTGTTTTCCTCACGGCAATAACAACCCTGGAAGCTGGACTGGGCTGAGGGTGACTAGCACTCTCAGACTAGAGTGGCCCCAAAATTCAGGGTCTGTGCCTTGATACCCTCTTGCCTTAACTATCCTGTAGATCAAACTGGTTGTCTCTATATTAGTGTTATTATTACTATATGTATTCAACTAATTATTTCAAAATAGATGTTTTAGATATATAGCAAATTATGGAAATTTAAATCTTCAAATAAACAGTGGCATCAAAGATGCAAGTAGTATGATCTCTGAACGACTGAAATGTGGGTGAATTAGGTGGAATTCTGAATCACCTTAGTTCTGACGTGAAAATGAGAAAGGAAAATACCTTTTTCAACGTCATTGTGAAAGCTTTCAGACTAGAGTAAAGTAGTTTAAGAAATGTTGCAATAACTAGAGTACTGTCATGACAACTGTTATGTCCCGAGCCTTTGCAACCGGCTCGGGCGTTTGCAGGCAGTCCCGGGCAGGTGCAAAGATGACACGGGACCAGACAGGCAGTCGCCAGCGCGTGCGCATGCGAGCCGGGTGCTGGCGCGGGAAAAGTAACCCATTACCGGGAGAGGTTGTCTATATAAGAGGCTGCGAGCGTTTGGGCGAGGCTGAAAGCCCATCTCCTGTTAAGCTGAACGCTGAAAAAAAGAAAACTCGAGAACTCCAGCGCATCTCGTTTTGTCTGTTTTCACGCCACGGATCTCAACAATGGACGACGATGGCGTGGGATGCTTGCATACCTGGAAAGGAGAAGGGTAAGGCTTTAGCATAGGTAGTCATGAGGGCGGAAAAGAGGAACGGCTTCGACGCGGAAGCTGCCCGCAATTCCGCAGTGCGCATCGGGGGTAGGCTGCTGATAGGACCGTCTACGGAAGATACGAAGATGGGCGGGAAAATCGGAAGGCTTTCAGAATTCGACGTCTCACATCCAGAGCGGTGGGAGTCCTACGTATCCAGAATGGAGAACTACCTCAAGGCAAACCAAGTGAGGGAAGATAGCTTGAAGGCTGCCACCCTGCTTTGCGCTTGCGGCCAAGACGCCTTCGAAATCGCAGAAAACCTTGCAGCACCTGTTCCCGTAGAGTCTGTAAGCTACGCAGACCTGAAGAAGCTGCTGAAGGACCACTTTCACCCCAAGGTGTCCGTTATCTCATGGCGCCACACCTTCGAGCAGAGAGGGATCAACGGTCCGGTGAGTCAGCCGAGGAATACATCGCCGCGTTACGGAAGGCCGCCAAGCCCTGCGAGTTCAAGGACCTCGAGGAACGACTGAGGGA